AAGGTAAAAGGAAATGCTCACTGGAGCAGTTCAGATTTTGCATTCTTGGATTAGGGATGTTCAACCTGTACTACTTTAACTTCAGGCTATAAACTTTGATATATTTTCATTTTCATTCAGTTCCATACATTTTTCTAACTTCCTTTCTGATTTTTTTCTTTGACCCATTAGCCATTACAAGTGTGTTTAATTTCTAAATATTGGGGGATTTACCACATTTCTTCCTGTTGCTCATTTCTAATTTAATTCCATTGAAGTGAGAGACTACATTGAATGATTATAACTCAAGTTTAAGTTTTCTGAGACCTTTTTTATGGGCCCTTGTATATAGTCTATCCTGCGTGTTCCATGAGCACTTGAAAAATACTTTTATTCTGCTGTTGTTGAGTAGAGTTTTACAAATGTCGGTTAGGTCAAGTTGATTTATAAGAGCTGATGAGACCAGTTCCCGCTCACTGGCTGAGCGCAGTGCAGGCCCAACACCGAGGGTTGCGAGCCCGTTGCTGGTCCCCAGTACGGGCGTGACACCGAGGGTTGCGATCCCGTTACCGGTCAGTAAAAAAGACAAAAAAAGAAAAAAAAAAAAAGAGTTGTTCAAGTTTTCTGTATACTTGCTGATTTTCTGTCTAGTTATTCTAGATTTCCACTGGAATGTATGAGTTCCACTTTCTCTACATTCTTGCCAGCACTTGGTATTGTCTTTATTATTGCCATTTTAGAGAGTGTAGTTATATCTTTTAACTTAACATGCATTTCTCTAATCATGTTCATAGTGGCATTATTCATAATAGCAAAAACAAGAATGTTTATTTTGGCATATGCTTTTTTGTCCTATGCATCAAAATGATCATACAGTTTTTCATTTTTACTCTCCTAAGATAGTGAAATACAGTTTTTTGATTTTCAAATGTTTGACCAGCTTTGCATTCCTGTGATAAATCCTACTTGGTCATGAGATTACTATCCTTTTTATATACAGCTGAATTCAATGTGCTAAAATTTTGCGAGCTATATTCACAGCTAAATCCATGAGGAATATAGTTTATAGCTTTGTTATAATATGTTGTTATGGTTTTGTGATAATTTTGTATTTTTTCCTTATGTGTCTGGTATCAGTGAAGTCATCTTGATTTTGGAGCTTTTTTTTTTTTGGTAAGATTTTCAACAATAAGTTCATCAAATTTTTACTAGATATTTAATTATCTTTGAGTGAGATTTATTGGTTACATCTTTCAAGGAAAAAAATTGAATATATTTGAGTAAAGTTATTCATAATATTCCCTTAATATCCTTCTAATGGCTCTGGTATCTCAAGTGCTTTCCCCTTTCATTCCTGACATTGGTACTTGGTAAATTCTTGCATTTTTTCTTTATCAAAGGTTTTTCAGTTTTACTGATGTTTTCATAGAACCAGCTTTGTATTGACTTTGTTGTATATTCATGTTGTTAGTTATTGATTTTTACTCTTTATCCTTTCCCTCTTACCATTTTTCTTGTGTTTAATTTGCTGTTCCTATACTACATGTGCTCCCTGACTTGCAATGATGGGGTTACATCCTGATAAACCCTTTAATAACTTAAAAATGTTATAAACTGAAAATGCATTTAATACACCAAACCTGTTGAACATCAAAGCTTAGCCTAGCCTACCTAAACATACTCAGGATACTTACATTAGCCTGCAGTTGGGCAAAATCATCTAACATAAAGCCTATTTTATAATAAAGTGTTGGATATCATGTAATTTATTGAATACTGTACTGAAAGTTAAAAACAGAATGGTCGTATGGGGACTCAAAGTATGGTTTCTACTGGAATGTACATCACTTTTGCACCATCGTAAAGTCAAAAAATTTTAAGCAGAACCATCGTAAGTCTGGGACCATCTATAGTTTAAGGTGGAGACTTAGATAATTGAAACTTTCGTAACACAAGCTTTTAATGCTATAAATTGCCCTCTATACACCATTTTCGTAGCATCCCACACATTTTGATAGTTTGTGTTTTCATTCAGTACAAAAGATTTTAAATTTTCTCATGATGTCTTCTTTGATCCATGGATTGCTTAAAAGTATGTTGTTAAATCCCAAACATTCTGGGATTTTTCCAGATATATTTGTATTGACTTTTATTTTAAATTCATTTTTGTCAGAGAACATTCTTTGATTTAATCCTCCTAAATTTATTCAGACTTGTATTGTGTCCTAGATTATGACCTGTTTTGATAAATGTTCCATGTATACTTGAAAAGAATGTATTCTTGGGTACAGTATTTTATAAATGTCAATTAAGTCAAATTACTTGATAGTGTTACTTAAATCTTGTATATTCTTACTTATCTAATTGTTTTATCAATTACTAAGAGAAAGGTGTTCATAACTCCAACTGTAATTGTGGATTTGTCTGTTTCTCTTTTTAGTTTCAGCTTCATGTATTCTTAAGCTATTATTCGATGATGCAAACATGTCATTTAATATTATGTCTTCTTACTAAAGACAATGAAAACCAAATAGATCTACAGACATCACCAAATGTCCCCTTAGGGGCAAAATTCCTCCCTCCCATTTGAGAACCACTGGTCTAGAGGAGCCTTTTTTCTAGGACTAAGTTAGCCTTACTTTTAAGATGTGACCCTGCGTAGGTCTCTACTGAATGCCCTGTTTATTTAATGAGATCTCTCCACTCTGACCACAAGGAAAGAAAATGATTCCGAGCTCTGGATGAGCTCTGTGAATTATTTTTCTTTCATCAGAAGTTGTTCTTGGGTGGCCTCATGGGATTTCACCTCAAGTATGCACAAATCTGTATTCAGCCAAAGACTCAAAGAGGATTTATGGAACCCTTTCTTTGTATACCTCCTCCTCTTCCATTTCTCTAACCCACAAATTCTAGTTGCTTTGGCCTCTCCAAACTTCAATCTCTTTCTCCTCAACCCAGCAAGATTGCTGGACTCTGGGTTCCATTTTCCTTACAATGCAGTGTGACAATTGCTACCAGGTCAAAAAAAAGCCTAGAATTAAGACTTCTTGTTCCTGAACCACCTGATTTGTTTCCCTTTTCCCAAGGATCATAATCATGCACTGCTTGTTGTCTAGTCTCTGAAACTAGTTGTCCAGTTTTCATAGCAGGAGGGGAAAAACAGACTGTACTTACTCCCAAAGGCCTGAAGTGGATGTAATGCTAGTGATTTTAACATTAAAAAATTGGGGGGGTGGGAGTCATTAACCCAGACATTTGAGATGGATGAGATCTTTTAAATATAGCTATTGAATAGTGCCTCACCCATAATTATTTTTAGAATTAGGACTAACCAGCAGGAAAAAAAGATGTATAAATAAGCAATCACTATTTTAAAATTTTGTAATAATTAGATTATCTGTAATACAGTAATATATCAAGTCAACCCATTTTTAACATGGTATGCTCTTACCACTCCTGACTAAATGATCTTCATTTCTGCATTAATACTGACATCTTAGAAGTGCCAAGTAATGCTTTATGGAATGAAAACATCTTCATACATATTCATTGGTCTAATTCTAATCACAATCCAGTGAGAAAGACAGCAGGAAACAGAGGTTCGGGAAGGTTATACGCAAGTCCACATGGCAAGTAAGAAATAAATAGAGAATTCTCACTCCTAAATCCACTGCTTTTCCTCTATACAAGCATTTTCTAAAATGTCAATAGCAGTGAAGATAAATTTGGGAAACAATGTACTCCCCTCCCTGGAGAGGGCATAATAATATCTCTGAGAATTCCTGAATTAAGAAGTCTGGGCCGGCCTGTGGCTCACTCGGGAGACTGTGGTGCTGATAACACCAAGGCTACGGGTTCGGATCCCATATGTGAATGGCCGGTTAGCTCACTGGGTGAGCATGGTGCTGACAACACCAAGTCAAGGGTTAAGATCCCCTTACCGGTCATCTTTTTTTTTTTTTTTTTTTTGTCTTTTGTCTTTTTCCGTGTCCGGCAACGGATCGCAACCCTCAGTGTCGCCCCCGTACTGGACCGGGGACCGGCAACGGAATCGCAACCCTCGGCGTTGCCCCCGCGCCTCGCTCAGCCAGTGAGCGGGAACCGGTCTGTATGTGGGATCCGAACCCTCGGGCGGGAGCGCCGCCGCGCTTCCCAAGCGGCGCACTATCCAGTGCGCCACCGGGCAGGCCCCGGTCATCTTTTTTTTTTAAAAAAAAGTCTGCATAACTTTGTATTAAACATGTAGCTTTTCTTAAATTTTGACCACCAAATCCTTTTTCCCTCTAACCATTGTTGACACAGAACCCGTATTCCTAGGAGCACACTTTGAAAAATGTAGCACCCTACAAAAGACATAATCTCTGCAAGATTAAGTGAAACCATGATTAACCCTCTGTTCACTGTTCTCCTTCCTAGTATCAATTCTTGAAGAGTAATATACACAAAAATGATTTTATGCCAATTTTACAATCCAGAATCCATGAGCTATTCTCATATCTTGACTACATAAAAACTACATTTCTTTTTATATTAGAATCATATCAACTCAGTATGTTAACACATTAAAAAATATTGCATGCTGATTTCAAAGTTCTAATTAACTGTTTATCACAGATATTGTAAGATATAACTGGTAAACACTCTTGTTGAAGCCTTCTATCTCGAAACTAGAATTAAATTCAAGTGCAGAATGACAGCCAAAGTTAACTAAATAATCACTATATTATTTCATCTGCACTTCAAAATAGCTTTGTGACCTAGAGAGGAAGATGTCATCACCAGTTCCATTTTATAGATGAGAAACCAAGTGATATACCCAAGGTTAAGTCCTCCAATTCTGTATTATCCCATATTCTCTCTCGGCTGTAGTTTCATAATCCTTTCAAAATGCTTATATTTTAGAATGCATAAAGAATACATAGATAATATAAGCCATGCAGTGTGCTATTAAATGCCCTACGTGCATTATGAAAAGTTCTAGTAAGAAAATTCTACAATTGACTCCATCTTAACCTTTCTAGTTCCTAAGGAAGGTTTGAAAAGCCAAGAGCTATTTGATGAAATTAGAATGACCTACATCAAAGAGCTAGGAAGAGCAATTGTCAAGAGGGAAGGAAACTCCAGTCAGAACTGGCAACGGTTTTATCACCTGACAAAATTCTTGGACTCCATGCATGATGTAAGTATCAAACATAAAGCCAATTATAAGATGAATTTTCAGGGACATAAAGTATGTTTTGATTAGTGTATATAATTATACACCAATAGTTTTTATTCCCCCCATTTCATGGATTTTGGTGATGGTTTAATTTGTGAATTTGTTTTGCACACATTTTTTCTAAGGCCAATTATGAAACATTTCATCTAGTCAAGTGCACATAAAATTACCACATTATTACAGAATTTAATCACACTATTTTTAAAAAGGTAGAATTCCCTCTTTTTGTATAATTAATCTATTGAATTAGAATTAATATGCCCTTCATATTTTATGGTACTACAGTTCATCATGAAACACTTAATTCCATATAATTCTACATACAATTTAAGGAATTTAAAATGTCTTTTGTACTTAAGTGGTTTTTTTTACTTAACTAAATTTTTCACCTGGAGAATTCCAGTGGAGACTGGTGTATTCTAGGTAAGATATTTAAAAAAAAAAAAATAGAGGCCAGCAGACACGAGATGTTCCTACTGCTCAGTTTTGAAACCTAATCATTACTATATCTTCTCTTGCAGGTGGTTGAAAATCTCCTTAAGTATTGCTTCCAGACATTTTTGGATAAGACCATGAGTATTGAATTTCCAGAGATGTTAGCCGAAATCATTACCAATCAGATGCCAAAATATTCAAATGGAAATATCAAAAAACTTCTATTTCATCAAAAGTGACTGCCTTAATGAGAAAGATTGCCTTAAAGAAAGTTGAATTTATTGCTTTTATTGTGCAAACTATCAATTTGTCCTGTAGAGGTTTTGTTCTTTTATTTTTCTTTTTTGTTTTTGTCTGTTTTATTGTTTTGTTTTAAATATGCACTACATGTGGTTTATAGAGGGCCAAGATTTGGCAGCAGAAGCGTTGAGTCATCACTTTTTCAGTGATGGGAAAGTAGATAGTGAAGTTCATTAATTGATATATATCGGAAATTAGAAACAATAATGTGGGGGTAATCTCCACTGTTAGAGAAGGATGGCACCTAAACCACCAGTGCCCAAAATCTGCTTGATGAACTTTCTGCTCATACTTTTCATAGTTGGCTGGATAAAATTTTCTGGATTTTTTTTTTTTTTTTGGTGTATTTTCCCCTGTATAGTTAGGATAACATTTTAGATTTATGCATGGAAATCTGAAAAAAGTTTACAAGTGTATATCAGAAAAGGGAAGTTGTGCCTTTTATAGCTATTACTGTCTGGTTTTAACAATTTCCTTTATATTCAGCAAACTACGCTTACTCATTTTTTCTTACATAATTTTTGTATTCAAGTTATTGTACAGCTGTTTAAGATGGGCAGCTAGTTCATAGCTTTCCTAAATAAACTCTAAACATTAATCTTCTGTGTGAAAATGGGTTGGTGCTTCTAACCTGATGGCACTTTGCTATCAGAAGACCACAAAAATTGACTCAAATCTCCAGTATTCTTGTCAAAAAAGCTCATATTTTGTATATATCTGCTTCAGTGGAGAATTATATAGGTTGTGCAAATTAACCGTCCTAACTGGTACAGAGCACCTAGTCTAGTGACCTGCTGGGTAAACTGTGGATGATGGTTGCAAAAGATTAATTTAAAAAATAATAACTACCAAGAGGCCCTGTTTGTATCTAATGCCCTATCTCTGCAATGGTTAGATGGCAAGAAAGTTGGTAAAGTAAATGTCTTTCGGGACCTTTTGTAGTAGTTTGTATAACTTCTTAAAAGTTATGATTCCCGATAACCAGCTGTAACACAGCTGAGAGATTTTTAATCAGATCAAGTAATTCCTCTCACTAAATTTTACCCAAAATTCAATGTCTAATATGGCAGAAGTGGCTAGACACCCATTTTCACATTCCCATCTGTCACTAATTGGTCTATCTTTCCTGGTGGTACAGGAAAGCTCAGCTACTGATTTTTATGATTTAGAACTGTATGTCAGACATCCATGTTTGTAAAACTACACATCCCTATGTGTGCCATACAGTTTAACATAAGTCTTGTGAATTTATTCACTGTTGAGAATTATCATTTTAAACAAAATAGAAGCTATAGTAGCCCTTTCTGTGTGCACCTTACCAGCTTTCTGTAAACTCAAAACTTAACATATTTACTAAGCCACAAGAAATTTGATTTGTATTCAAGGTGGCCAAATTATTTGTGTAATAGAAAACTGAAAATATAATATTAAACATATGAAACTTCTAATATATTTTTATATTTAGTTATAGTTTCAGATATATATCATATTGGTATTCACTAATCTGGGAAGGGAAGGGCTACTGCAGCTTTACATGCAACTTATTAAAATGATTGTAAAATAGCTTGTATAGTATAAAATAAGAATGATTTTTAGATGAGAATGTTTTATCATGACATGTTATATATTTTTTGTAGGGGTCAAAGAAATGTTGATGGATAGCCTATATGATTTATAGCGTGTGCAAGCATTCATACAGGCAGCAGTGGTCTCAGAAACCAAACAGGTTTGCTCTAGGGAAAGAAAGAGATAGAGACTGGCCCTGTGTGCAGTGAAGGTTGCTGAGGCTCTGACCTGATCAGATCACGGAGGAAGTAATCCTCTGCTTCCCATTCTGACCACTCTTCTCATTCCAACAGTGAGTCTGTCAGAGCAGGTTCAGTTTACTAAATCTCCCACTGCGCTAAAGTGTGTAAGCAGGAGACAGAAAGGTGGTGCTTAAATACTTACAGGCACCATCTAATAGCGGGGTTACTTTCACATACAGCTTCTCAACAGTTTAATAAAAACAGAGGCATTAGAAGTTTGGCAATAATATGCATAGAGGTACCAGCAATATGTAAATAGTGCAGAATCTCATAGGTTGCCAATAATACACTAATTCCTTTCTGTCCTACAACAATAGTTCATTTCTAAATAAAATGAGAACATGTTTATGTTTTCTTTGGCTGCTTTTTGAATGTTATTTGTTATTTTCAGTATTTTGGAGAAATCATTTAATAAACACCGTAATCATTCGCTTTTTTCCATGCTCTCTAAAAGGGAACGTTCCTGTTATAATGGTTTAAATTGATCTCCCAGTATTTTAAGATGGTTTGTAACCCAGCTAGATGTGAAATTTATTGTGCCTAAGAAATATTGCTTGGATATTATTATCAATGACAGTGTTAAGTTTCAAAAAGAGCTTCTGAAAAATAGATTATTGTTACTTTATAGAATGTTATATGGTTAAAACCAGAAAGCACATCACACATTGATCTTATTTCAGTCCCAACAACTTTGGCTCTCAAAAAATAGTCAGTGAAAAATATGTGCCCTTTGTTGTCAATAGGAAGCCAAATGACATTCATTTAAAAAAAAAAAAAAAACTATAGGAGGCTTTTCATTAAGGGTAAAAGGAAGCTGTGCCCTTTTAGAATATGTGGGGGAAAAAGAAAGTTATCTTAATTATGTTTGTTTGAGTATAATTATGGATAAAAAAGATATGGTGCTGTCTGAAAGTAGCTTCATTTTCTACATATGTGGTTATCTTGCAATCCCAAATACTGAAGTTTGTAGTAATTTCAGTGAGAGTTGGTGAGATGTGTAGGTGACTCACAACGAATCCTGAAAAGCATTTTTAATTAATGGTGGATGTTTTTAGGCATTGCTCAGTGTTTTTAGGCATTGCTCTGGGATACTTATTATACAGGCAGAACTCAGGAGCTAAGGGCATAACACTTTTAGGGTATATATACCCAACCATCTAAAACTATGGAAGGGGAACCTAAAAGAGCACTTGCCTTCTCTTGGGCAGAAAAAAAACCAAAAAAAAAAACAAAAAAAAACAAAACTTGGCCAGCCCAGGAGGAAAACTAACAAGAATAGTGTCTATGAAGAGAGCCTGATGATGATTAGCATAGGATAAGCTCTGGGCATGTACATAGAGGAAAGCCAGCTTCACTTCAGAATTTGCGGGTAGGGGGAGATGGGCAATTCCAATTTTATCGAAGTCTTATCATTTTAGTTCCCTTTTAAATACCCTGAAACTACATCAACATGGAATGAACAATATTAATATATTTTGATCTGGTGAAATTCAAGAACCATGGTAGCCTTCAGTGAGATTTCAATCTTGGTTGGTCACCCAACAACTGTAGCTGTAGATGAATGTGTTTTTATGTGCCTGGTTTCAGTGATGGAAAGGAAAATAAAAATGTAAAGAGGACATTTTAAACCCCTTTGAATGGAAGTTTCATCATTTTCCAGACTTTTCAATCAACTTGGCCCACCAGGGATTAGTGTCCAGGTTTTCAGGAAAGGATTAGATTCTCTCTAGAAAATATTTGAAGAAGGATTTTATTTTCTGATGAAAGGCTGTATGAAAATACCCTCCTCAAATAACTTGCTTAACTACGTATAGATTCAAGTGTGTCAATATTCTATTTTGTATATTAAACAAATGCTATATAATGGGGAAAAATCTATATTATACTGTGTATGGCATTATTGAGAAGCTTTTTCATTATTTTTTAATCACAGTAATTTTAAAATGTGTAAAAATTAAAACCAGTGACTCCTGTTTAAAAATAAAAGTTGTAGTTTTTTATTCATGCTGAATAATAATCTGTAGTAAAAAAAAAAATGTCTTTCTACCTACACAGTGAAATGTCAGACTGTAAAATCTTGTGTGGAAATGTTTAACTTTCATTTTTCATTTAAATTTGCTGTTCTGGTATTACCAAACCACACATTTGTACTGAACTGGCAGTAAATGTTAGTTAGCCATTTACAGCAATGCCAAATATGGAGAAACATCATAATAAAAAAAAATCTGCTTTTTCAATATGTGACTCCAATATACTTTGTAGAAATTGTGCAGTTCCAATTTTCCTACTTATTTTTCTCCTTGTTCTACTGAAGGCAGAGTTACCACTTCAGGAAGTTTAAGATCATGAAGTGGCTACCAAGTGAAGGAAAACTCACTTCTGAGGCTGCTCCAAATATACCAGTCTTTATCATGAAAGATTACATTTTATGTAAACAAATGTTATCTAGTCAAAATTCTTAGCCTTCTTGTATTTTAAAATCAACTCTTTCTCAAAAAAAAATCATTTAATATCACAATAATGTTGCACAATATAGACGATAAAGGCAGAGGGGGAGAAAGTAGTAAGCCAGCTATTCTATATGACCTATGTATTCTCCAAGACATATTGTGTTCAGGTCATGTCCATGAACTGGATGACCTAACAAACTAACAAACTTTCCTATAAATAGTCTTTTTCCACAAAAGACCTCCATCACTAAGGAAAAAAGCATTACGATTAAAAACCAAAATTTGCCTTATCTATCAGATGTGCATCAAGTATTTGCTACATGCCCACTATACAATAAATAGTGAAGATACAACATGAATTAGAAACCATTGCTAAACCTCAGTCACTTAGGGTATGTGATTGGAAAAGTATGTAATAAACTTTCCTTCCCAGTGTCTTGAGATACAAATGCAGAGATACCAGATGTGGCATCTGTTAATATACACATTATTACGGTACAACTCACTTCAAGTATTAACCTTACATTTTTGTAGAATACCGTCACATACATGATACCAGTTAATCCTCACTCAATGAATGAATGAAATGAAAATATGAGAAAGATACTAACTCGATTTTATAAAAAAGGAAATGAGCTCAGAAGTTAAACTGATTCACAGCTCCTAACTCCCATTTTTTTGAAGTTTGAATGGAAAGCTGCTGTAATGAGGCCATTTAACTATCAGTTGTCAAAGAGCATGTCTCTGGCCTACAAGCTTCTCAGTGAATTGGTTATGTCTTCCTATTTAAAATTAAATAGATGCTTTACTGAACACTATGTGCCTGCCAGGTATCATGTTTCGATCTATTATTTAATATTAGCCACCCCATAAAATGATACTATAAATTGTACTATTTTCCTCATATCATTTATCTGAAAAAACTGTGGCTTAAAGAACTGAGTAATAGTCCATTTCTGTTGCTTATAATAAAATACTTGAAACTGGTTAATTTATAAGAAAAAAAAAATTTATTCCTTACTGTTTCAGAGGCTAGGAAGTCCAAAGTCCAGGAAACACATCTGATAAGGGTCTTGGTGGTGACAACAGCGACCCAGGGCCTAATATGGCAGAAAATGGCAGAGCAGAGAGATATTAACCTCTCATGTGCTCTTCTTTTAAAGCCCTTAGAACCACGTCCCTGACCACCATTATTAATCCATTCACTATGGCATGGTCCTACACTCTAATCACCTCTTCAAGGCCATACCTTTCAATTATCATAATAAGATTTCTCACCTGCAGCAGTCACAGTCAGAATTAAGCTTTTAACATATGAACTCTGCAGACATAATTCAGTCAATCCATAGCACTTGTCTAGGGTCAAAGCTTGGAAGTGGTTAAGGAGGACTTTTTTTTTTTTTTTTTTTTTTAGACACTGGCCATCTGGTTCCAGAGCCCATTCTCTTAATCACCACTGAGAAATTATTAATGTGAAGTTCCTACCTAGAGCAAATGAACCCATATTGAATATCATGTGTTGGGCCTTTCAACATAATTGTATTTAATACCTTTTGCTACCATTTCAGTTTTGACTTAGACATTTAACAGTATTTCCTTCTCTTAAAAACATGTATATGGGCCGGCCCGGTGGCGCACTGCTACAGTGCACCGCTTGGGAAGCGCGGCGGCGCTCCCGCCGAGGGTTCGGATCCCACATACAGACGGGCCGCTCACTGGCTGAGCGAGGTGCGGGAGCAACACCGAGGGTTGCGATCCTATAGCCGGTCCCGGTCCGGTACGGGCGCGACACTGAGGGTTGCGATTCGTGGCCGGTCACAAAAAAAAGACAAAAAGGAAAAAAAAAAACCAAAAAAAAACCATGTATATGGTCCCCTTGGGAGGTTGATGGTGAGAAATAGTAGGTGCCAGAGACTACAGAATACCTTTTGGTTTGTCATATATACAAGGAGCAATGCCCACAGGAAAATCAACAAACATTTCTTCAGGTGATATGGAATACACATGCTACAGTCAAACTAAAGAAGAAAGTTGTTTATAAATGAAAAGTATGATGCAAGTCAAAATCTATTCCTAGTTTGGCAAGTAAAGTAAGAGACAGACTTTGCATATATAAAAGAGGTTGAAAATACAGATGCATTTATGCTAGGTGAATATTTTTTTAGACCTTTAATCTCTCAACTGGAAGTAGTGTCTCTTAACAGCATCAGTAACTTTTTAGCATTTTCTTTCCAGTGAAAGAACCCTGCCTCCCTTTTTATATCAGACTTCCTGTTTCCTAGTTAAAATGAGATTTGACTTTCGTAGGGAAACATTTTTTACTTTGCTTGGCTACAGACACGTGAATCTCAGAACAAGAGTTCATGTAGACCACATCAGACACGCAAAAAACTTTCTTCCCTCTACCCAGCCCGCTTGAGTAAGAGATAATTTAAACTCTATTCATCTTAGGGCCAGCCCATGGCTCACTTGGGAGAGAGTGGTGCTGATAACACCAAGGCCACAGGTTCAGATCCCTATATAGGGATGGCCAGTTGGCTCACTTGGGAGAGCATGGTGCTGATAACACCAAGTCAAGGGTTGATCCCCTTACCAGTCATCTATTTAAAAAAAAACAAAAACTATTCATCTTATATACTCTCATCAGAAAGTCAACAGAGTAATAATGTGTACACAATTAACACCAAGTCAAGGGTTGATCCCCTTACCAGTCATCTATTTAAAAAAAAAAAAAAACTATTCATCTTATATACTCTCATCAGAAAGTCAACAGAGTAATAATGTGTACACAATTAATAAGGCATTTTTTATTATTGTTGATATGGCACTGTCTTATAAAGTACTGTCTGAGTATATACACGGGGTTACGCTGGAAATAAGAATCTAGTCTATCCAAAATCATTTGGATGGTTTGCTAGGACTGCAAGAAATCAAGATAAAAACAACTCTTTTGAAGTGAGAAGGAAGGGAGACAGTGTGCATAAAAACCAAGCAAAGGATCATAAAACATGAGACGATGTCATAACTTCTGATCAGTTTCGCTATCCACTGTGTGGCAAGCATGCTAGATGAGCCAATTCAAAGATCACTAAAGGCAATACTAAAACTGCAAGGAAAGGCAAATGACTCAATTCCACTCCTACATATCTACTCAAAAGAGATGAAAACATTTGTCTACATGACTTGCATGCAAATGTTCATAGCATCCTTATTCATAATAGCCAAAAAGTGGAAACAACCCAAATTTCCATCAACTGATGAACAGATTAACAAAATATGGCATGTTAATACAATGAAATATTGTACAGCCATAAAAAGTGGAATACTGATGCTTGATATAATATGGATGACCCTCAAAAACATGCTAAGTAAAAGAATCCAGATACAAAACACCACATATTAAAGGAGTTCACTTATAAAGATGTAGAGACAAAAAGCAGACCAATGGTTGCCTATAGTTAGGGAGGGCATCAGGGCTTAAGTGCAAACGGGCATGTGAGGGAATTTTTGAGGGTGATGAAATGGTCTAAATCTGGATTATAGTGACGGCTGCACAACTCAGTAAATGTAATAAAATCATTAAAGTCTATACTAAGAATAGGCAAAATTTTATGGTATGTAAATTATATCTCAACTAATAAGCTCTTGAAAAATATATACAGGCTGATAAGCAAATGTGTAATTGACATTCAGCTGTATCAAAGGCAGATACAAATTGCTATGAATGTTTTAAGACAGGTGTAGCTGTTTTTTGGACTGCCCTTAAGATGTCTTCATGGTGCTATATGTTAAAGAACAAGTTGGGGGTTAGCAGTCAAAAGTTTACCAGTTCAATATTAATAGATTCTCCCATAAGATTTAACTAGTTATATGTTCTACCCATGTCAAGAAACCACATGCAAAGAGATCAACAACACAACAAGTAAAAAAACTTACAACACACATGACTACTCATTTTAAACACCAAAAAACAGTGTGTGGTATAAATCCTGTTAATAACTCTTAGTACCTTAATAGTTACAACTTTGGAATGAGACAAATCCGGATTCAAGTCTTGCTTCTGTCATTTACTAAGTCTGTGATCTTGGGGATGTTTTATAACCACTTTAAGCCTATTTCCACATCTGAAAAATAAAACTAATACCAACACCTTAAAGTAATGAGAGATTAAATGAGATAAAATATATTTAAGCTGCTTAGCTCAGTTCCTACCATGTGTAGCACGTGCTTAATACATGTTAGCTGTTTTTTAAATCCTCACAGAACTCTATGAGAAAAGGGGATTTTTTTTTTAATGCTGTCCCCAAAAATGTACAGAAGAAGAAAGGTGAATGATTAAGAGCAGTGTGAACACAAGAACTGCATGCAAATTTCCACTCTCACATATCTGAATTAATAAAAGCCATGCATAAGGCTGGGGGAGGCCATTATATTATTGGCTTGCACTTTTATTATCTCATCCATTACCAACTATCAGACCTTGGGAGGGGTCACCAGAAGCACTGAACTTTCTTTCAGAAAGGGTCTTTCATTTCTAAGTCAGTATCTCAAAGTTGGAGAACAGCAGTGCCACAGGAATTAAGACAAGAAGTGGGAAAGCTATGGATTTGACCAGTGTCTTTTATATGATTCTTCCTGGTTGGCGAGAAGACTGTTTAACAAAGAAAGAGAACCAGCCTCTTAATGTCCCCACATGGAGTTTCCCTAGGCTGTCACTGTGATTGACGCATTCAATTATGAACTAAATTTCACTAATTGGAATAAGTGGCATAAAATCAAAATTATAA